TGGATGCAGTTGCATAACTCTATTACTGCAGTATCCTTACTTGAAGTCTGTTTGGCAACTGAGCATATTTCAGCAACTGGTCGTTTAGTTATCTCTAGAATTTTATCTGCAGAAACAGCTAAGTCATCCATAAGAACACCCTGAAGTGTCACAAGTACAGTCTGTACTGACTGCGGCAGTTTGGATAAAAAGGGTTCTCTAAAAAGTCCTTCATCAAACTGACTTTAGCCAATAACCTCTCTCATTCTTGTTAGCATGCTCACGGCTGACTGATCCCTTAACTCGATGTTACGAAATAATTTGTCCAGACGTAGTTGATCCGTGAGGGCATTTCTCCTTAGGAGGGTTGATTTAAGCAACTCGTACGAGTTACTTGCCTCCGGACTCGACATCTGCACAGTTACGCACTTGCTGAATTCTCGTGGTAGGGCGTTAACAACTGAGAGGAACTGTAAACGTTGATCAGTTATCCCATGCTCACTAAAGTCAGACTCAGCTATCTGAAACCATGTTTCATCATTTCTGGCCAATATCGTACAAGCTGAACGGTTTTGGCAGTTGCGAGGATACGAATGACCTTAGGACTATGATCACTCATGACGAAATATATATAGTTTGAATATAGTACAAGAACAAATACAAAGTGTAACGAACTCACTGGGTTAATCTGCGTATTTATCGAAGATGAAGTTAGCGGCAAGGCTCACCAGTTTAGAGGCTGACGGTATTAACGTTCGCGAATTGTAGGAAGTATACTAACGCAAAATCTAATACTAACAACTTCTATAGTATTCGTTTCTCGTGGACCAAAGGCAAAGCAAAAGACCTTATTTGATCGTCCAAACTACGAGATATATTTCGGGACCAAGTCGTGGAGCGAGATGATTGCTTAACTGGTTAGTGATCATGCACGAACGTGACACGACGGAGCACCAAATGCCATGGATGCTTGACCGGAAGCCTTCAGCTACACAAGTCGAATTAAACAGTGAGAGTCAGCATCCAATATTCAGTGATGATTGCTGTGGTCAATAATTTTGGGGAATTATTTACCGTTATACACCTAACTTCACCACTAACTGTTCCACTATTCGTTTAAATCCGCTGAGCAAGCTTTAACCTAGTTTGCTGTAGCACTGACTCCTTCCATACTCTATAATTTTCCAACACTCATACTTTCCTAGTTGTTCGCAATGAGCTATTTATTTATGCATATATGTGCATTTAAAAAGGTGACTATGATCAGAATTTTCCCGTGTATCAATGTGTCTGGTGAACTACTGGGAAGCAACTGTCTTGAAAGAAGTTAATACACAGTGATACACCGGGAAGCCATGCTGATCATTAAATATATTTCGGGCCACAGATGTGAATATCTTGAACCTAATGGACAGAAAAATCAAACATGACGGCCGGAGACCAAACCACGAGCTTAGATCCTGATCTTAAAGAACTATGGTGAATGTTTAGATCCAAATAAAACTAATTCTTCTGCCTCTAACATTTACCAGTTTGTCCAGCTGCTTGTCGAGACGCTAACCAATTAGCCCTGCACAGGTGTATGAGACTTCTTATATATATCGTATAAACGGGTGAGTTTACAAGAAATGCGTGCCATTTTTACAGGTACCATCAGTTATGTTATAAATTACAATCCTGAAGTACTATAAATTAATACTTTTTCAAAATTTAAATTGTTCAATTGTTGTACAAGCAACTGGAACAGATTCTTATAAATGTTAAATTGTAAACCTTTTGCTAAGGTCACCACTAAAGTTGAGCGACAACCCAAACTTCGTTCCGTTATGGTCAACCAGTGAACAGCGTATATCTGTGTGAGTGCTATGCCGCCACGTGATTGAACGCTATTTCAGGAAGAGGGGAAAATTCTGCGCAGCTGCAAAATGGTAAAAAATGCGAGTATGAATAATACATTATTAGAAATATATTTACAAGATAAATACAAGAAGAAGAAGCTATATAGTACTTGAAATGATAGTATACATTTGCAATGTTTAAAGCAAGCCATGGAAAATATGGTGTTTTCGATGAATATATATAGCTTTGTTCAAACATTGGTGTTGTTGTGCTTTTGATCAGAGCAACGAGACTTTGGGCAAGCAACAAATATGAACAAAGAGCAAGTTTTAGCTTCAATAAAGGCCTAGGTAGTTAAGATCAGATAGAGTATAATAGTGCGTTAATAAAAAGATTATTGTGAGGTAGGTAAGTGATATTTACGTGAGGAGTGAATTCAAAGATCTGGAAAACTAGAACCTGTAGGACAATCTGCCCTGTAAGATGTCTCACGAATTTCTGTAGGGCCCAAGGGATGGCATCTTGACAAGAAGCTGAATAGGCTTGTAGATGGTAAGAGCAAAGCGTCAGCGTGTCCCACATGTTCCACTTTCTCGGATCTCTGAATCACCGTTCTAACTGAAGCATCATTCACGTTTTCCTTAATGATTTTTATGCAGGTGCCAACATATTCTGACACACCTTACCTACCTACGCCTTTCGAGACATTGTAGCTTATGCATGCCATTCTTACTTCCTGCTACCTTAATATCTGGTTGTGGCGAAGAAACATTACATTTTCATTGGAATGTTTTGGCTTCAATAGTAAGACTAGTGTAGTCGGCATTACCCGTGTTTTTATTCTAAGGACTTGATCTGAATGTGCTCGCTTACGACGCATTGCTTAAATGGATAATCTTATAACTTTATGAGTGACTGACATGTATTACAATATGTGCCTCCATGTAACTTTGCTTTTTGATACTTTGCAATATTTGAATATTCGCCTTCCGGAATTGCGTGACTAAATGTGTTATGAGTCAACGCAGGAGTCCAAATCACAAGTTACGGGATACTACATATCTAGAGTGGTGCTGGAGGCCTTCAGTAGGCAGTATTAAGGTACCACAGGCATTGTTCTGACTTGTTTCCGAAGTTTGGATAATAACCATTTTCGCAAGAGGTAGTGAGTGAGTAAGGACATATTCGAAACTCAGGTGTTCTCGGACTTAAATTTACGGAAGAATTATTCCTAAATTCGTAAGGTATACAAACACTGCCACGTGTAAATTACGATTACCCCAAAACATTTTATTAGATGTTGCCATTGGTTGATGCCTGTAAACTAGCGTCCACCACGTACTGTGCTGAAAGCCCGTTTAAAACTATGCTTGAGTACTTCTAAGTGTTTGAAACAATAAGAGGCAGAGATTTTACGCACTGCGCTCTAATGAGATTCGGTTGGCCTAGTGTTCATACAGGTCCTTTTGGTTTAGGCATTAGCAATTTTGAGCGTCTACTAACCCTAAGTTCTTGCTCATTGAGCTGTTTAGAGTAAAAAGGGCTTCAAAGTTACCATTTTTGCGGTATATTTGCGCTGATTTATGCGTCTATAGGTATTCCCCCTGTAAAAATGAAACTGTTAAACCCACACAGTGCCAGTTTGAAGCCTAACACAAGGAGTTGTCAGATCATTTGACGGTGACCAAATAGTTATGAAAAATCTTATTAACCACCATGCGTTTCAACCCTAAAAGATGACTGAGGTTCAATTGAATTGATGAACTTCTTTGATCACTCACACAGGCAGAACTCTGATGTATCGCGGCCTTATTTTGTGCTTAGCGTTTTAGTCTACCTTTAAGAAGTTTCGCTTAAGGATCATCAAATTTCGAAGCTTCACTGCTAAAAAGGCCTTAAAAATTATGACTTTACGGCAGTGGCGTCACGTTCGCTTAATTCCAGTGACTCGGACTGCCGTTTGATATAGCCTTTGGGTCTGGAACTATCTGTTTGTATCATTTTGAGGAAAATGAGTGGCCTGTTGAATAAATTGTGTTCGCTTTGCCTGACATTTCTGTTCCTGTGGTAGCGGCATTTTTTCATCTTTCAAAGACGACAAATCTTTGTAGTAGTTTTGCCTGATTTTTTGCGTGAGACTAGATCACAGAATTCACTAGCGTTTTATTCTCCGTCTGACTTTGGTTCTGGCTACTTACTATCGACTTTTGCTGTAGATGAGGCTAAAGCTGTAGTTTCGGCTACTTGTCCGGTTATTACAGCTGCAGTGCTCCGATTCGCGTTCTAATGATCAGAGGCGACTTGCAGCTATAGCTTCCTGATAATGGTTCATCTGTAGTGGACCTAGCAGCTAAGTATGTCTATACACACAATTAAAAGGACAGAACAGGTACTAACAAATACGTATATATAAGACATTCAGTTCACTTAAGTTAATATACACAAAAATAACTGAAGTTATTTGAAGAAAAACTATATTAGTCACAAAATACACAAATTATACACGTACGAAATTATGGGAATGAAATTGTCCTTTTCTTGATTATACAAATCCTCAACTACACCTTAGAGCTGTCAACCGTCGGAGGTCTCCCGTGTAGAGAAAAGCAGATAGCAGCAAAACTCTGGATGTAGATATGTCAATCAGTGCGAGACAGAGTTGGTCGGCAGATGTGCCGAGCGAGCCGCCAGAGAGAGAGAGCAACCGATTCGTTTCTTGCGCGCGGTCCAAGGTTGAGTTCTTTTCAATCTCACCTAACAACCACGATTTTCATTGGATTCCTTGTTTTTCGGTGAACATATAATTTGATATGTTTTTAGGCCGCCACACATCAGAGCACTGGTCTTTTTTCCCCTGTGAAGAAGGAACTTTGAAGATAAGAAGCTTCAGTTCAATGGCCCCGTTTATACGGTGTTCTCGCAAAATATCCGAGTTTTATGAAAATTACAAACTCCTGGAAAACACAACCATCAACAATTAACCTCAAGATTTACAAAGCTAGCTTTAAGAAATGCACCAAAGCAAGGTGCTGTCAAGCTACTAAAGGTGCTGAAATTACCGCATTTCTAATTGTTGATGTCTGAACAGAGTGTTTTTGCGTATGCTTTCTTCTAAATCCCTGTATTTTCATATCTTTAATATAGTTTTTACTCGAATGTGCGTAAAACTTCACTATTGAAGATTTTCAAGGTTTTGAACCAGGTTCAACTTCCTGTCACACTTAAATATTGCGCAACTTTCAAAACATGGTGGAAGTCACGCCCTTAGAGTCGAAAATCATTAAACAAGTTGAGGTAAGTAATTGGCACTTCTTTCTCCTTATAAATATGTAGTATTACTTTGGGGATGTGAATCTATCGCGTGATAAATTCCTGAGAGAAGCTATTAAGCAAAATGATGGCTGTAAGTTAATCATAGCAAATTGTCATTCTCTGCCTAGGGATTTCTATGGATACAATGCTGAAATTTAAACGGCTTAAATCTCTTTCGGAAGATGCTGAGTTCATCAAAAAGTCTTTATCAAAATCCGACTCTGGATTGATTGAAGTTGGTGCTAATGGTGTACGTAGAAACCCTAAATTGAAAATTCCTGAAACTTTCCAATCGACTATGGAGGGTTACAGAGAAAACAGTGTATATGTCAAAGGATTTACTTCTGATGAACAGCTGGATGTGATTATTGAATGGCTTGAAAAGCATGGGGGGAAAACACTGGATGTACACATGCGCAGATTTCCTAATAACAAGAAATTCAAGGTAACACTGTCATGATTTTTCAAAAACTGATTATAGGGAAGTGTGAATGCAATATTTGAAAAGAAAGAAGATGCTGATAAATTCTTAACCTCTGAAGAAGCTGCAACTTTCAAGGGTAAAGAAATGACCCGATGGACTATGTATGTTTCATTAATATTGCCAAATTCATGTGCCTTTTTCACTAATTTCATATGTGAAAAGTTAGTTTAGCTTATCAACAGAGTCATAGATAGGTAGGTTGAGTGGAAAAGATCAGCGTATTCTATAACGTTCTCCTAATCCCTGCACTTATTCATGCTAGAATTATCAGAAGTATTCTTGGAAGTCAATGAATTTGACCTCGTGGATGCCTGAGATTACTTTCACTTATCAACAACCACCTCTAGAGTTGTAACAGCACATTAGCCAGAAAGGATATGTTAGGATAGATATGACTTCTCGTTGGAAGCGTTCATCAATAGAGCTACTACTGAGTCAGTTAAGGAGTTTCAGTCGTTGACCACTGAGAGAATTCAAATTACACGCGTATTTTATTCGTCCGGGGTTTGAGCACTTTTTTGTGATGACCCCGTAAATATATCGTAGAGGGAGATGAAAGATTAGAAGTGTTAGTGCCTAGATCACCCTTGAGTATACGGTGTGTGCCAAAATTAAGTCACCTTTCCTCCGTCCGTATAATAATAGGAAGAGAGTTATATGTGCTCCATCCTCTTGTTGTGAAAGAGGTGTGTGGTTCTTACTCGCTGTACATTTTCCAAGATATGCGCCTCTTCCTTGAAGCATAGACTTATCGCTTGTATGCAGTATTCATTCTAGAAAAGGGCTGATGTATGTTGCGTAGAGTACTTTAAACAGATTCATCTAATCGTTTGAAAGTTCTTCGTAGTGCCCATATCATTCGAAACGTTTATTTCAAACCATGTTATATACATCTCGCTTGGCAATTCAGATATTTTTCTAGGAAGCCAACAGTTTGTGTAACGAGTTTCAGATCGTCATTTTTTCCTTAAGCGATTGCTATCATTCCGTTGCACTACTCATCTTAACCTGGTACAATATGATGTTTAGGCTTAGAGAATTAGATGATCAGGAGAAGGGTAGATAAACTGATTGATTCAGAATGCTCAGGGAAGTGTCGCTGATGCTCAGCCATCGCCTCCAGCACTCGATGGACAAGATGAATCACGAACTAACTTCAGTTCGATAAGTAATTTGCGGAATCCCAACTTCTTAATTCCTTCACCAACCTTATTGTACGTATTTGTATACATATATGTGCGCGTTAAAAGTATCTTAATCTCTTCTCCCTCCAGAAGTGAATATAAGAAACGTAAACAAGAATTGAGAGATTCTAAATTGGCCTCCCAAGTTAAACGACAAGCGGCGTTCGAAGCGAATCAAGAAGCCCATTTGAATTCTCGTATGATTCCTGGAGCATTGCTTGAGATAACTGGTCTTCCAGAGGCTTCAAAAAGTGAGTATTTCATATGCGTCGTCAAATGTCTCTTTTCATATCTGAGTGGTTTTCCACGTACTTTTGTAACAATATAAGGCAAGACATGAAAGCCAAGGTATATTTTTCATTAATCGAACCGCTGTTTACGTGTAAATACTTAACATTCGTTAACTAATCACCGAGCGTGTGATCTTGTCTTACATTGAATGACATGGAATAGAATGTTTAAATATATACATACAGTATTCTGTTGCTAATGTCATATTGAACTGTGGGAATATGTGAGAATAATATTCCGTTGGAACACATTGCCTGTATCACACCACCACACTTAGATTGAACACTAACCGGTAGCAAATGCATTGTGTCTAGTCTTTGGTGTTTTGGTGCATACTGAATTCCATCAGTCAAGTTTGCCATGTGATCACCATTAAACCAGGTGGCTCTATATTACGATGCACTGTGAATATTATTACATATATATTATTATTCTTTTGGGTCCCAAGTGGAACATTAGGCTTCAGTAGGCGGGGGTGAGTACATATTGATGTCTCCTTGATATCTGCAGTCATTTATCTAACTGATTCCAAAATTGCTAATAGACTTTCGCATTCTTCCTGTCACGCATACAATCTCTATGTACCACAATCTGGCATACGCATCTAACCCATCGTTTCTTCAGTATGGAGCGAAGGCAGCTGTTGGTGAAAGCCTGCAACCTGTTGGAAATCCTTTTCGTGGCACACACACACACACCAAGTCTCTGACCCGTATAGAAGAACCGACTTGATATTGTTGGCGATCATGCCAATCTGGTTCCTTATGCTCAGTCAGTGCAGATTTCCAAACTTTTCTTGTTCATGAAGGCGTACCTCCTGGTTTTCACTAGTCGGTTCTCAAACTGATATCAAATACCTACAAAACACCCTTGAAATAAGTTTCCCCGATATATGTATATATATATATATATATAAGATGAGGTGGTACTATCATTGTTTATTTCGTCGACTTCTCATCAACACTGAAGGAATTATTAAGTTTATGTGCAGAAATACTTTTGACATGCTTGCAAATGTGATATGACATTATAACAGTTAACGACAGGAATAAAAATAATACTGCCATTTTTTAAACTCCGACAATTCCTGACTGTTACTTTCTTCATTGACAAACCTAGAAACAACTGAAGCGAAAGGTGACGATGCTAAGAAACCAAACGATAAAGGGGAGAGTGAGGAGAAGGAAAAGGAAACCACAGATGGAGATTCTTGCAAAAATGGTCACGAAGATGAGGAATTGCCGACAGTAATTAATTTGAAACAATGGTTGGCTGAAAAGGTAATCATTGTAATTTTTTTATTCTGCTAACGACTCCATGCTAGTCTTCTCTATTGGCCGATGTCCTTTGACGAGCAATGTCAACTGACATAGGGTTCAAGGTTGAAAAAGAGATTTAAGGCTTGGTGGTGATGGTCAAATCAAAACCTGGCATCACCAATCCATGAAGACTTTGACAACTTGAGCGATGTAGGAAGAAAGGCGCAGACTGCCCACTGTCTGACTGGCCAGATTGGGGTCGTCAGCGCGTTCAGAACCAACGACGTTGTCTGGAGACTTTCGTGGTGTGACTTGAAAATCCCCATTGGAGTCATAAAAGCAAAGGTGTCCAGCGAAGAGTTACTCTTTTTGGCGACATCATTCTCTGAGATGTACAATGGTATATATATATATATATATCACATTGCAGTATATATTTCCTTATGCTGTTTTGTGGTCTCTATTTTCACTTTCTTTTCTTCCCTCTCCCCTGTCCCACATCCTCCCAGTTGGATTCAAGTATGACTGTTGGATGGATTGATATTGAACCGGCTGAGGGGAAAGCAATAGTCCGTTTCAAGCAAGCGAATACAGCTGAAAAAGCATTGGCCAAACTGAAAGATGCTTCTGGTGGTAACGACTGTCCTGTCAAGTATATGAATAGTGAACTGTCATTCCGTGTACTAACTGGTGAGTTGACTTGAAATTTCAGCCTTTTTGCATTCATTATTATCGACCGTGGATGAGCTTACTCAGCAGTTATAATGGGTTCTTCCTAGTGGGGCTGGGGCACATCGTAGTACTTTTTTAGTTCTCTGCCTCCGAAATTGCCTATTTCCTTTTAACGCACTGGGTTCTCGAAGTCATGTCGGAGAGGAACCAAGCCCCCCCCCAGTTCGTGTATTTCTCCATTCTGGTTGGTTGGTTCAACTGGAGGACTTGACTGGGGCGCCATGTTGGTGTCACTGTAGGGTATATTCAGATCTACGCATGAAGTGCGTCAAGTCTCTGAAGCCTATAGAAGCAGCAACTGACAATGACATAACTTTGTGAAGATTGAGATGTTGTTCCTTATGCTGTGGTGGAGTGCGGTAGCTTTCCACACTGATTGGCTTCAGAATGACGACGAAGATCTGTCTTGCTTGCTTTCCCAATTCTGCGTTTGGCGCCGCTTATGTATGAAATGAGGTGGTGATTGATGTTTGTTGTTGCCATTACTGTCGGTCAATGGGAGGGGGATATCTTCACCCCCTCTGTCTTCTTTGTGTCCACTCGAAGTGTCCTACCAAAATGTCGATTCTTTCGCCTTTAGATCTTCGAGCTTATTGTTGTACATTCACTTGAAGTCCAGATCTTCCAGTGTCTTCACACTTCTAACGTCAAGGTTTTTTCATAATCCAGTCCAGCACCACAATCAGAAATTCCTGCTCTAAGGATAGTTAGTAACACGAGTACCATCATTTAATTACTGTAAAAGATGAGCATTTCTTATTGAGACCCAGTGTGGTAGTTCGTTAGGTTCTCTAGCCCTGATCCTAAGCCTAGAAAAATGCGGGACTGGTGTGGCGTGGGGCTAGCGACTCTCTTGAACCTTGGAAAATCACTCCAATCGCTAGAGGAACTTTAAAGCACAAAAAAATATAAAAAGCAAACTTATTCTTCGCTGGAATTATAAAAGGCGAAATGACACCTCGTGGGATGATGAAAGCCTCCGGGAGGCTAGCCAGCCAACCAGTCTCTTCTGATGTGAAAGCAAAAATAAGGTTGGGGAGACAGAATATTCGTACAGTGTACACAAAGCTGAGAAAGAAAGGCTACCCTGGTTCCCAAAAGAAATGAAAAGTTATGCCAGCTATGAGGATGTCAAAACCAGCCAGAATCGGAAAGGCATGGCAGATCTTCATTACTTTTGGAAATCAGTTTGGTAAGTCTGCTGCACCCAACATAAAGAACAAAATTCGAATTGTCAGCACCCAATGTTAATCCAGTCACTTCTATATGGACGAGGAACTGGTCCAGAACGTCACAAGGAATACTTCTAACAGCCAACTGCAGGCTTTTGTCAACGGCTGCCTTCCATGGCTCCATACTGAAGATCAAATGACGGACGAGAAGGGATAAGCGACAAAACCAACCAAAACCTATTGCTCAACAGATGTGTCGAAGAAAATGGAACAAACATACTCTAAAGAGAGCGTTGGGAGTGGTATCGCTCTCCGGGCCCTCGAGTGGGAAACAACGACGAGTAGTTGTTCATGGCTTCGATGGTGTGACATGGGGAGATTGTGTGAGGCAAGCTGAGAGTGTATCGTCAATCGTTGAACCAACCAGCCAGCCGACTGAGGAGAACTGGACAAAATGGAGATACTGCACTCCGCAGTTGAAGCCGTATACGTTCCACTGAAAACCGAAGGGGCGTCATCAGGTAGAGACTAAATTTTTAAATTGACAGACTTATGATATGTATGATGTACTGAAATTATGACGGAAGCAGGGTTTGTTCAGTGGGGGACTTCGTAATATTCAGCGAAACTTTGGATATACTATCCGCACACACGCACTGCCGCGGATCTCATTTATGCTACAAATCCACTTTTCGTTGCCTTTTCAGGTATTTATTGGAGTGAGGTTATTGTCTTTTTTCAAGTGTTGGTTTGTAGGGATTTGACTGGTCGCCGGTCATTTTTTGACAAGGCAAAACTTGTTATATAAATAGATCAATGTGTGTGCGAGAGCTGGTGATAAATACTGCCAAGTCAAGGGGAACCCAGGATCGACTGACCACTGTGAGAATGGAGTTCTTAGACCAAAAAGTGGAAAGCATGCAATGTGAACCGCTTGAAATTGTCGATAAGTTCTTGTATCTGGTTGAATGTGTGAGTTCTGGCGGAGGTGTAATGGGTGAGATTTCCAACCGTATCATGATGAAAGCTAGGGCGCGTAATGTCATTTGGCAGTCTCTTCAGGGTTTGTGGTCGACAGTTGACATCTCCATCTTCTTCCACATATTTGCTGAGCAATAGGTTCTTGCCTGTCGGTTATTTTCTTCGTGTGATCTGTCTATTTATCTATTTTTCTTCTCTCTTTGTATATAAATAGGTGACGAAGAGAAGGAAAGGTGGAAGGTGATATTAGCGGCTCAACAACAAAAAGCGCAGAAACGTCGTGGAAGTGGACGTGGTGTAAGTATTATACCTTCTGTTTTGGCATTTGATTAATAATTTTTTTTCAACTGGGTCAAAAAGTGATCAGTCAGTCACTGTGTGTATAACGGGGTGGTGGCTAAGCTGTGGCTGGCTGGAGAGCAGGTAGAGGTATTCAGTTGATGAGTTGTGAAACGTGCCTGCTTGGATAGCCATCCATCAGTCATTCTATCGATGTATGTGATGACGAATGGAACATAGAGCTTCAACCGAAGCATGTCTACACTTCGTTCTATTTTCTGCTATCCTCTTTAGCTGGCTATCCCCACTGTTGCCCACAGTCCCTCACCTCCTTACTATACGATCTTCTCCACGTCACCCTCGGACGACCCAATCGTCGTTTCCAACCTGGGTTCCACTTGAGCCATGGCTTAGTGCGCGATGTCACTTGACAGTCTCTTCAATGTATGTCCAGAGCATCTCCATTTTCTCCTATGTATTTGTTGAGCAAAATATCATTGGTTGGTTCGTTGTTTGTTAGTCTCCTGTTGCTAATTGTTTTTTGCTGGCTGTTTGATCTTCTGTACGGAGGCAGCTGTTGATGGAAATATGCAACTGGCTGTTGAGAATGCTTTTCGTAGTGCATTGGCCAAGTTTCTGACCCCTATGGAACAACTGATTAACTTAACACTTGTGTTAAAATTCCGAATCTAGTTCTTTACGCAGTGGTGGAGTGGAGGTTTCCAAACTGATTTCAGAATGATAAAGTTATTCCCTGCCTTTCGGATTCTGTCTAATTTTGGCATCCTCATCTGCCCCACCTGTGGTTGAAATGATGCTTCCCAGCCGGATAAATGTAGGAAGTGATGTCTTTCATATTTCTTCTGTCGGTGGTGGTTGGTGTTGTTGAACCAGGTACGTTTTAGCACAGGAAGTAGGCATTTTGATCATATTTGTTGCCCTAGAAGTGGCATTCGATTTCGTAGACCGAGAGCTACTATGGCAGTGTTTGCATGTGAAGAACTCATGCAGCCTAGTGAGAGCCTGAAAAACTTAACTCTGACTGAATTCAGCTACAAAGAGATTGACTTTTCACCGCCAGAGAATAATCTAGTTGACTTGGAATAATATGCGGATGGTATAGTCCACCTCCAAGATGAGGAAGACGCTGACGAAATGCAGTCCCGTCTACTGTGAACACCTTCAGGAGCGGCAATCTTCGAATGTTTGGCATGCGATTCATTCCTTTCAAATGTAAAATGATGATGCTACAGAACTGAACTATATCGACTCCTAGCTAGCCTAAAGATAGGCAGGAGTGAAGTGAAGTATGTTACTAACGGCTTTACTTATTTGAGAAGTTGCATTAGCTCTACAAGGCGATCGATGACAAAATTTCCTAACAGATAAAAAACAATTTTGTGGTCGACTTCATTCCATCTCTGTCATAGATGTGATGTCGGACTGGCAGGCTATCGATCTAACGATGTGTTTATTGTATTGTCTTTGATCAGTGGTGCCTGTGTTCTCTCCTTCATGTTAGGTAGTATAACAGGGTGAGTAATATAATTAGGTGGTAAGACATTTTAAGTGTTGGGTGAGTGGGAAGGAAAATCAACCAATAAGCTTGTGAAGCAGTAGTGTTGATTGAGATGGCTAGGATATGACGTGTCATTGATGTCTAACCATCGCCATTGTCGTCATGATGTGTTAGCGGCTGAAATAGGATGGATCAGATTGGAAAGGAGTTAACTTAATGGTGGTCAAACCGAAACTTGTCTGGTATCAGTCCGTGAGACCTTTCGATATCCATGCAGAGAGGTGTAGACTCGTTGGTTGGTTTTGACTTCTCGTGATTCTAAGAAGCAATGACTGAAGACCTTTTTTGATACAGCTCAAAATCTTTGCCAATGGCTAAGATTTTCTCACTCCCTTGTGATCTACTATATCCAGAAAGGCCATATGGTTTTCCCATATAACTTTCTCCCTCACATTTCTGACTACTGTAGTACTTTTGAATCCCCTTTTCCCGTTTTGTGTGCCTTTGTGTTCTACATAGAGACAGTATGGCACCTTGAAGTGCTGCTGAGGTAATTGTGTGTGTGTGTGTGTGCAAAGTTGTTCTGTGTTGTGGAAACTCAGTAAGTCAGTCATTTTCATTGGTCCCCTTTTTCAATCTCGTTCTGATTGTTGTGTTAAGGGTGGAAGGCACACGGCCAACAAACGACGCCGTACAAACTGAAGGTGAAGAAGAAGTGGAACGGGTCATAAAGAAGAACCGTGACAAACAAACGACCCACATCACAGATGTTTCATTGTCGTTCATATTGTTGTTATTATATGTGTGTATTATTCATTTTTCTATTCTATTATCTAATAGCCATGTAAAAAGACATCTTATTTATATATCACCCATCCGCGCCCTCATTGTTAAGAGTTGAATATATTTCTTGTTTGAATTACGTGTTGGCTTTTTCTTTGTTTTGTTTTCACACTGTGTAGGGTATGATTTGTTGTTGTTTACGTGTGTGTGCTTCTCATGTGACCTGATGGCAGTACATATATATATAGTACAACAAAAACGCTAAACGATGAAATGAAACAGTTAGAAGACGCGTTAGTGTTGAATAACTATCCTATGAAATTCATTATGAAGATCAGAAAAGATCAAAAGCAAAATAAAAGTAGTAGTGAAACTAATAATAATTGTAACACAAATAAGAAAGAATGTAAGGCATCTACAGTAGTGTTAACATATAAGGAGGAGAGACCTGAGAGCCTGCGTAGGATTCACAATAAAGTAGGAATCAGTGTGACATTCGAACCTAAAAACTCAATCAGGCGTGACAAGATCTGTAGGTTAAAGGACCCTGTCGGCTGATCCAATTAGACAAAATAATATGATTTACAAAATACCTTGCAATTGAAGTGATTTAGGTGAACTACATAGGTCAAACCAGTAGATCGGAGTCAGTTAGATTGTCTGAACGCAAGAATTCAGCTAAGTCTAGAATGACTGACCCCTCGAATATAAGTAATTTAGAAAAACGCACTCAGAAATTGCACTACATGCAGTAAAACACAATTCCAAGAAGTAATAATATAAGTAGGTGGGGAGAGAAGGGTTGATTACTGAATCTTTGTTCATGGAATCCACTACACCCGAAACATGCAATATGGGTGACTGATCACTAATACCAGAGATATGGAAAATACTACTACCAATCAAATTAAGAGATGAGAAGTAGTAGAATTATATAAACGAAGTCGGAAAGTTGTGTGAGTGATTGCCTTGATACGATTATGAGCTGGAATAAATTGTGCTCGAAGTGTGGTCATCAGTAAATATTATTGTATAACACTGAAACTTTATCAAAATAAATTTTATCCATGATGTAAACGACCGACTGACTCAATTTGACCTTCAGTCTGCACGCACGACGGTCAGTTGTTTGTTGGCTTACAAGTCGCATATGTTAGTGACGAGAGTGAAGGAAAATGACTCGACATGCGGGGAAGATTATTGAACAATTGCAGTCGCCGAATGTGATACTGATCAATCTATCCGAATGAAAGAAATGTAGTACTTAATTGAAATTTGTAGAGAAAATTAAGGACAAAGTTTTATGTGACAGTTAAAGATCGTGGAAACTGATGGCCAAAGTGGTGAAGGTGTCTGAAGTAATTTCCTCGCTACACATAAGTTAACGTTCTTAAGGTGGATTTCGATGACCTCAGCTATATGTGTCAAAGAAATTGAGGTTTTGAATCTTTAAAAGTACAACAGTTTTTGCAGAATAAGATGTTACCGTCATTACTTGTTTCGTTGGTTTCTCATCAGCTGCGTACAGCTTGCGAATTTCACAGGAGCCTCCAAACTTAATAAACAGAAAATTACATTTATATGGTTTATTCCCAGAGCGTTCAAGTTTAAACAAAAGTCAATGTACGCATAAAATGGCGAGGTAGTTAAGTAACAAAGATAGGAAGTGAGTAAGGTGACGAGTAACCAATATATTGAGTAACAGTATAGGCAGTTCAACTCACCTCAGAGCATAGGAACAGGGGATAAGCGAAGTTACACAGTGTCGAAGGGAGGTGAGGTTAAAGCCAAAAATTACGTGTTCAAATGAAGCAGGGAGAATAAAGATATCCATTTACCAGAGGGACAACGAAAGACTGATAAGTGTTTCCTTGTGAACACACACACATAGAGACGTAAATTGAGTTTCAGGCGTTCCATGGGGATAGCTTCGGCAAACTTGACGAGAATTCACCTATTTGGTTTATTGATGAATTTGAAAGATTTGGTGATGCCTATCTCATGATCCGCATTAAGGAGATGCCTGGCAATTGCACTTATGTAAGAATATTTTCATTGAGACCTAGGCTCTTTGTCGTGCATGTTTGGGAAATTGGATGTGTATTCCCTTCTTTGTGCTCACCCGACGTAACTTCTCCTGCTGATACATGTAATTTCGTATACGCAGTTACATTTAGTGACATGAGAAGGCTACAGTTGAGCTGCAAATAGTCGCTGTCAGTCCGTTGCTTAACCACACAGGACGGTATTCACTAATTCGACGATGAACATTCCTAATTGTACTCCGAGTGTAACTTACTGGGCACCATAGGAGCAGTCAAACTGGCAGACGTACACAGGAAAGGAGAAGGGGTCGGTATTAGTTAGTTTCTCCCTGATTCCTAAACATATAATTGGAATGTTTGTGAGGACGGAATGAAATTCTGAGGCATTCACTCCTGTTTATACTGCATACGCCTTCATATTGTAGCGTCTTTTTCTAGTTGTAAGGACGGCTAGGAATGAAATACTAGCATTTCTTTATCGGTGATGACATTCATTTCAGGATGCACATCGTTGACTTCGTCAGGGATGTTGACCACTTCACCTATTAAGGAAGTTGCATTAGACCTAACGGGCTGACGAAATCTCGACACGGATACAAAAGGCTCGCGTGGCATTCGTGAGACCATGTCATCTCTGGAGAGTACGCGATTAACGGCTGACTGGCTATCGAACATAGGACATGTGTACTACACAGGAGCAGCAGTCCGCTCCTTCCTCCTTTATACCTCTGAGTGAGACATGGCAGCCATTGCAAGTGGAATACATGAAAAGATCGACTAGCTATCTTTGATCATTGGTGTCTGCGTTTCATCTCCCGTGTTATTTAAGTGGTATAATAGGGTGAGTAATATTTAGAGGTGAGGCATCAGTCGAGTGCTAGGCAAGGTTTTGAAGAAGTTGTGTCGATTGAGATAGTTAGGATGTGTTAAGCATGCTAGGCTAGCCATCGATTGCCTTCCTCAACGGGAATGTTATGTGAGCTGACATAGGCTGAATCAGGTTTGGAAAACAGTTAGCTATTGGTGGGTGGTCAGACCAAAACATGGCTTCATCAGTCAGTGAAATCCATAACAGCAGTTAGCTTAAACCAGCCTGCGCACTCTTCAGGTTGGAGTCCTAGAAAGACTTGGTGATATACCTCGAAATTGTTACCAATGTTCTAGGTGTGTGCATTCAAACGCTATGTTCTGTCATATGCTTGTTACTATTCTTTCTCCATCACATTTCTGCATATGGTCGTTCTTTCAAGTCTCTTTTTTCCCTCTTTTGTCTTCTTCTGCGTTTTTCATGGAGGCAGTATGGTAACTTGAATTGGTGGTACACTTCTGTGCAGAGTAGTTCTATGTTGAAACCAGTCAGTCAGTCAGTTCTTTGCTTCACTCGTATTTTTCATAATCAGAAATGTGTCATTAATCAAACGACAAGGGGAATTCTAATTTACCAATTACCTGTTTCAAAGATAGGTTCATTCTCTAGTTTTACAAGAAAAATGTCATCTACAAACTGGTCCTAATGGTGACACCATAGCCATACCATTTATCAGCTGGTCTGTATAATTGCCTTATTAATAAATTAAGTAAGAAAAACAATTATAAATGGACATTCGCATTGTGCATCTACAAAAGTAAGCTTCCTCATAAAATATTAAAGGAATGCCAACCTCCATGTTCTGTCGAAATATGTTCTTTTTCGCATATAAAATCTACTGTTCCCATCAGTGGTACTACAGTCAATAGTGGATAAAGGAGATATGTCGTCGACTGATATTATGAAATCCAAGTGTGTCATATATAGGTAGGTTGTGTCTCACTAATTCAGTATGTAGAGGCTCTGAGAGTGTGACTAACCATTTTGGCTGTCGAATGATATGGGTAGTCAGAACAAGATGATTTTGAGCGGACAATTGGTTTCGAAGTAATTTCTTCTTTAGCCTGCCTACAGTTATAAATCTATGATTGTTATAATACAAATAGCCATTGAAGGCATGTGGAAATTACATCGGAAATTGTATTCGGAGGTACGTGTATAATATAGAGTGATAGTCCGTTATTCAAGTGTGCAGTCATTCAGAACATACGATAAAATGTGGATAAACAACTGGGTGACAAACTAATGTATTTATATTCAACGGAATATAAGTTTCATTGGGAGGGGGGGATGAGTTATATTTAATGGTGTGTAAGGGAAATGATTACCACAAAATACACACAAACAAATACTCAGAAATGGGGAACAGTGGATGCAAGTTTAAGGAAGGGCTGATAGATATCAAGTGTAGGGATAAAATAAAAATGGTTAAACTGTGAAGTGTAATCAAATCCTAGAAACATGATAAGCTTAGTATAAATTACAAAGGTTGATGCATAATAAAGATAGATAGTAATGGAGTCAAGTGAACTAGGTGAAAAGGAATAAGAAGTCGATAATATGACATGAAAATATGGATGATTATTTGCCTGCTGACCTTATAGTAGGCCAAGGTAAACAAAGAGGACGAATGTGCTTCTTTTGCACACACAGGGCAGGTTTCTTCCTACAAATCTTTATAGCTTCCCCTATAGCCAGTAGACGTAATCGTGTAACTTTAGGCAGGTTGTTTGGTACTCGATATACAACCGTAAATGACTCCTCTACTTTGATGCGGTGTTCACTATCTCCTAGATGAGACGAAAATGGTACTATTTACTGATTCGGTTACGCTTTTTCCAAGCCAAACAGGAACATGTTCACCATCGCGTAAAGATAAATTCCTCTGAGTTCAACCTATATAACTAGCTCCACATGAGCAGTTGAACTAGTATACATACATTGATATGGCCATCTTTGATGATTTACCTTTGGTACACTATACTAGTAATGGTCCGGCTGAGAAATTGATGTGCAGTTCTTCAGTGTTGAGAGTTCTTACAGTTGATCTGATCAATCTACGACGTAATATATCACCACTTTTGATCTGTACTCTTAAATACATCTTTTTCTTATTCAACGTTTCACGCCTAATTCTATCAGCTTTTTTGGAAATATACTTCTTTATATATGTCCAAACCAAGTTGACTTTTAACGGTTTGAAAAAATTTTGGGCATTGGGTATAT